GCTTCCACAGAAGTTCAGACTTGCATCTAGTCCCCTGATGCCACAGAACCAAAATCCTTTTAGCCACAGAACCAAAATCCTCTAGTGGCCCAAAGATCTTTTTCTAAAAGTGTAGTGCAAAACCGTAACTATTGTATTATAACTACTTCTTTAAAAAAAGATTTAAATCATATTTTTAAAAACTCCCTCAGTTTAGACAGTAGGAATCTGGGCAAGTTCCCGTCCTAATGAATACTGGAGAACCTCCAAGAAAAGACCATCTCACTGAAGAGCCATGTCCTTGCCAAAGAGCAACGATAAAGACCTCTCATTCCTTTCTCTGGGAAGATGCATCGCGCTTCCACCGTCAGCAAGTTGTAAACCGTTGTTTTACAAGTCCACAGTGAACGAAACATTAGTACTTAATCTATTGATTGAACATTATTTTAATTGAGGCTTTTAATGAAGAACTTAGACCAGTTCCCCCTAGCTGTGTGTGACTGCAGCGTTCTGGCTAAACAGCAGAGGGCACTTCAAGACTAGCACATTTTCTCAATCACTGCGCCTCCTGGTAGGCAGCGATCTGGCAAGTTCCAAGGATGTGAACCTGGGTGTAGCCATTTATCACGCGCTCTGTGTTGTAGCTTCACGAAGCCCTTCAACAACTATGACTAAAACAAGAAAGCATGTCTTCAACAAACCTATAGTAGTAGCTTATACACAAATGCACTTGCTTAAAAACGTATTGCCAAATTAGCCACACACACAAAAAAGGTTATCGAGGCATCATAACAGTTTCAGCTCATGTTGCAAATTATTATATTCCAGTCCTTGGAAAAACTTAAATCAAAAAGTTATTTACTGAGCAAAATATCTTTAGCTTCTTAATCCTAAGAGATGATAAATTTTGTTTTAAAATTTAAACAAAATTCTCCTAGAATCACAATTCATTCGTGAACAAAAAGTCCTTTGCCCTTCATTCTAAACACTTATATTTTCATGAACTTGCCAAATTTTTAAATTTTTGTATTTGGTCGATAGTTGGACCAAATTTCTTTGTTTTGCATAAATAAATTTGGCTTAGTAATGAAAATGCTTTAAGCATTTGAAAACCCAGCGCAGGGGTGGGCACTTTAACACAAACAGTGTTAAGTACTATAAAACTCAAATTTTAAGCTATTTTTTAAAAAAGTTAGCTGTTGCCATGTATAAATGTTAAATAAACTAATTCTTCACATGCTTTAAATCTCACATTGAGACAAATGCACTTTCATTTATAAAGGCACAAAGAGAGTCAATAATTTGACTCTATAGTCATCACAACTTTGCATTTAACAAATGGGGAAAAAAAGCAATGGTGCAGAAATTACAGTCAGCAGAGAATCTAAAAATGGAGGAGCCAAAGAAATTCATAAGTTTTCTTTCTACAGCAATGATACTCAAGATACTTTTGATATAAGTCTTTTGAATAGGAACACTTTTTAACAGCATAGGATAAATGCATTGTGGGTCTGTGGGAATCATTACAAAACATGATGGCTTTAATATATTTGAATCCTCCATGATTGCAAGATAGAGTGAGTTTTTATTTCATCTAAGAAAAAAGATGCCTATTCTGTAATATATGCTCTATAAACTTTAAATATAAAATAATTTTGAGTGAATTGTTCTGTTCTCAAGAAGCAAAGCATGTAACCATATTTACTGATGAATGAGATCACTCAGCTAAAATATTGAGAAAGCCAATAATTGTGATACTTTGCAACTTCTTGATAATCTTTAGACAGAATTTTCTAAAGACATCTTCCCCCAGGTGCTTTGACAAATACATTCAGCTGAATATGGTTAGGTACATTTCTGTTCAAGTAACAAGAGTCTGCTGCCTCAATTCTAAAGCAGATAGTATAATGCAAACACAGGTCCTTCCTGCACAAAAATATCTCTAGCCACCAGGGCTTAAATAGTTCCACTAGTACACGTACTACTTCGAGAAGAGCCATGCCATTAAATTGATTACTCACATTTTATGGCCTGCATGTGCATTTCATGTTTATTAATCACTTCTCCCTTATATTACCCCTACCAGGGCACTAGGCTAAACTTCGCAACAGTTTCCTTTTTGCTGAGGAAGTGACACTTAATGAACTATAGGGGATGGATCTTAATCTTGTTTGCAGACCTTAAATCTCGTGTCTATTAGTTGTAGACAGAGCAAGCAGTAACATATAAGCTCCCCATAATTCACTAATTTTCCTTTCTTTAATAATTGTAGTTGCTTAGCGTACAAAAAATATTTGAGGAAATCTGTACCAACCCAGGGACATTTCGAAAAGAATTAAGAGGATTGCTATATGAGAGTATCACAGTTGGATCAGTGGGTATCATGGGTGGTAATTCATTTAACTGATAGCTGTGTGATTCAAGACACGTGCTAGGTACCGGAGGCAGCATAAAAACCCTGGGCATCTTATGGGAGGGGACACAAAAGAAGGGGAAGATGCAGGAGGGACAAATCATGTCTATTTCACCAATTTTCATGTTGTTAGCCTGGATGTACCTTTGTGGGTTTCAGGAATTACATGGTACCTCCACAGCTGGGTGAAAAAATTCTAGCTTCTCCCAAACTATTTAATTTGCTACCAGGAATAGTTTACTACCTAGAGGAATGTGAATTAATAACACTTGTCTAGATAGATGAACACATGATGATAAAATATCTTGCAATACAGTATAATAAAAAGGTTTAGTAATACCAATTTGTATCTTCCATGTACCAAATATCTCAAAAGACATGAGACATTTTTTCTTCTATCAATAGTACTTGCTTATTAAATGAATGCAATATCATTTCCTCTTTTACTAAGGAAACCAAATGTCAAGGAAAATTAAGACATTAAGGTTACATCACTGGCCTTAAATAGGTGCCGAAATAAATACTTAGTTTCCTTTCCTAATGTCCATTTTGCTATACTCACTCACCCCGAAATTGCAACTTTTTTGTTGCATGTGTGGCATTTTTGTTTGTTTGTTTTAAGAATCTGAAAATGATGCTCTGTGTAAAATCAGTAAAGTCTTAAAATTGTATATTCCCCTGCCTCCAATCTTTTCTTTAAATTCTTCCTTTGGACAAAGGAAATAGTAAGTATATATTCACAGCAAGTAATTATAGCTTTTATTATCTAGGAATCAAAAGCTAAGAATAGTAGATACATTTTTTTAACCTCTGTGGGGGATTTGTTGCTAATCAATTAAGAAAATCCTCTGCTCCCTGGTGAATTTAGGTGCAAACAAAACTAGCACACAAACAAAACCGACACAAGAAGGAAGATCCTGTTTAAGCGGCATCTTACGTAGCGGTTTTCAGAACCGAGAGTTGCTAATGAGCACTTTAGATCAAGGAAAACCACAGCAGGAGCATTAGAGTCAGAAGCAGCACTTTTAACACAGCCCCCGGAATGGGGGAAAACTTCATGACATACAAGATTGCTTTAAAAATTACTCTCAGGAATATTCATTAACACTGGCATGATTTCTCCGATGCAGAAAGGAAACATTAATAACCATCTTTCTTAAATAATCCTGACAGAGAACTAGATCCCTGGCTCTCTAGACAAGACAGGCATATATGCATAGATACATCCTTAAAGGCTGAAGAATAACACAGATCAGTGCAAACATGTCAAGCAACCAAAAGTACAACAATCATGCCAGGAATATCACTAAGGATCAGCATATGTCTGTATCGAGGTGATTAAAAATATCTTGAAAATACAGAACAGAAATAAGTTTCCCCATTGTCCTCACAAAAATGAAGGAGCCTGGGAAACTGCTTTAAAAGCCCTAATGAATAATACTAGATGCATTTACATGGGGACAAAGGGCAAGGAATTCAGAAAACAAACAAACAAAACCACTACGTTTAGTTTCAGACGTCTGCTTGTTTTCTCCATATAAGCAGATTGTAGTCAGTGTCCACTTTTAGAAATGATTTGTATAGGATAACACATTTCAGTTGGAAATAATCATCATCCTTCAAGTGAATTTAATTGATTAATTGTGTCGATACTAAGTTCTTTTGACAGTGGAGGGCCTGGCTCAGGTCTCAGTAGTAAAAGGAGGGGAGCCGATGGAAGACAATTGCCCTTCACTGAGCTACTATCACATTCCAGCACTGTGTTCAGAAGTTTGCACGGTGCAAGAAAACGCAGGTACCTCCGGCTCGCCCACAGAGACAATTTACACATCTGTCTATTAACACATGGTAGGTAGTTACATTTAGAGGAAACATACTGACACATCTGTTTATCCTGAGTCTAAGTAAATCTCTTGGTAATTAGCATCTAAACCAGCTGAGAGGTAAGTGGACCAAAGGATTTCACCACAAAAACATGAACAGTTTCATACATATTGGGTAGTGTGAAAAAAGAATCAAGCAAGCTGTGTTTATTTTTAAACAGGAATGCATCTTACAATTTGTAACTGTTGTACCATTTCTTCTCGGTAGGCTAGTTCCCTTTTCATCTGATCCTGAAAATTATCTGGTAGGAGAGAGAAATAGAAAAAGAAATTACTTAAAGTGCAAAATCTACTTTTAGTGTATCTAATAAAAATATTTTGACAGTCCCAAAGACAGCCCCCCCAACTTAAGTCTTTTTTTTTTTTAAGTAAATAGTACGGTTGTTTGAAGAGATGGTCTCAACACTATAATTTAATCAGAATAGACAGTAAATTGTGAGAGGGTAAGGTGTATGTCTTAACATTTTATGGTATCTCATGCCCCATCTAGTCTAATCCCTTGCATATAATAGTTAGGCAGAAATGTTCAGTGCAATCGTGTTCTCTAACATTTGCACACTTGTACAAGTCACAGGTGTTGAGAGCTTCCGCTGTTTTCAGAAGTCCAGCACGAGTGAGGGGTGGACCTCAGATAGAGCTGATCGTAGGAACTGCTGCCCTTGTGCATGTAATGCTTTCTGGGTGAGGAAGACATGGGCCTGTGAAATAGGCCTGCCTGTCTTTGCTGCCACTCATCTCACTCCTAAGAGAGCGATAAACATACTCTGGCCCGACTCTCCCAACCAGCAAATTCTGTCACCCTGGACCAGCCTTATTTTATGGTCCTCCTTTGGCCCAGTGCCTCTCTGGAGACCTCACCCCACTCCGAGAAGGGAGGAACTTTAAGACATATTGTTATGCAAAATATTTCTGCTAGCCTACCTATTGATCATATTTTTTTTTTCAGGGTATTGTGAGGGTACAAACATTATGGTTACGCTTTATGTCTTTGCCTCACCCAAGTGCGGGTTAAAGGCATGCCCTTCCCCCACTACAGTGCTCCCTGTGTCCTTTAGTTGCAGACTTACCCCTCCCATCCCCCTAATCCCTGAAGAGTATTTCTGCCATGTGATCACCCTAGTGTTGATCAGTTAGTATCAATCTGATGGCAAGTACAAGTAGAGCCCATTCTTCTGCTCTTGTGGTGCCTCACTTTGGATAATGGGCTTAAGTTTAATCCAGGAAAGTATAAGAGGTTCTAGATCACTGTCGTTTCTTATGATTGAGTAATATTCCATTGTAAACATATACCAAATTTAAATAATCCACTCATGGATTGACAGGCACTTGGGTTGTTTCCACATCCTTGCAATAGTGAATTGTGCTGCCATAAACATTCGGGTGCAGATGTCTTTATCGTAGAATGTTTTGTGCTCTTTTGGGTAGATGCCTAATAGTGCTATTGCTGGATCGAATGGTATTTCTATTTTTCCTATTGATCATTTTTAGTGCATTTAAGAAAGAAAAAAAGACTTCCAAATGTATAGCATAATATTGCATCTTCTTCGTGTGATCTTTTTAAAAGCGTAGACTTGGTTAACTTTGGCTTTTTCAGCCTTGAAGGAGAAGTTAACATGATTTCATATTGAATTTGTTGTTCATAGGGTAGCAGCTTGGGGAAACCGAAACTTGATCAATATCTTTTACTCTCCTGTTCCTTTCACCTCTACAGCCAACTGGTGTGTAAATCCCACGTATTCTACCTCCAACCTCTCCTCTCTTTGCCATTGTTACCTTCCTAATGTAGACACCTCTTCCCGGAATAATTTTCTGACTGATCGCCTGGCCTCTAGTCCCTTCCTCTCCAAATCTCATTCATTCCCCTGCTTAAAAATCTCCCATGGCTTCCCATCGCTTTCAAGATAATAAATCCTTTACCACTCATGAGACCCTGGGTGCTTAGAGATTAAAAGACTTTGTTCTTTTTATTTATTTTTTTTTACTTTTTTCTATACTATTTGAATTCCTTCTCCAATCTCAAGCATATATTATAATTTATTTTTTAAAAAGACTGAATCCCTACTTTCCCCTCTGAATTTGATGGAATAGAGTGAAGTATGTGGGGCAATGCAAGGATTGAGGGAGGAGGCCTCATTCGCTCAGGGGTTAAGGGGGAGGACAGCATTCCACGCAAAAACGTGGCAGGAGAAGAGGGGAACTGCAGGTGACTCAGTTTGCTACAGTAGAGGGCACAGAGGAAATCCCCTGCACCCCACCACTCACCAAACCACTCTCCGGTCCTCAAATATACATTGTACTTCCTGCTTCTGTGCCTTTGGCCCTGCTGTGGTCTTGCCTTTGTCACAAACACCTCCCTTTTCTTTAATGTTCCAATTCAAACGTTACCTCCTCTAGAAAGCCCTCTCCAATTCTTCTGCTCCTCCTGCTACAGTTAGTCACCTTTCTTTTGTACTCCTCTAGCAACCTGTCCATATCTCTATTAATGCATCCATAGTACATACTATGATTAGTTGTTACACATCTGTCTTTCAGCTAAACCGTGAATTCTTAGAGGACAGGAAGGTAAGTTTCAGACACTTTTTACATTTCCAAGGCCCACCAAAGTTCTTGACACACAGAAGGGGCTAGATAATGAATGAGGAATGAAAACAGCACAGAAGTATCCACTGGCAGATCCGGATTCTGCCATGGACAGGAATTCCCTCACTCTCGGGCCTCAGACCTTTATTTAAGGCAACGAGGGTGTGGAATGATGTGCTCTTTAGGGTCCTTCCTTGCTCTAGCGTTTTAAGATTTGATGACAAGGTAAACTGATTTGGTTGGGTCCCAAGCACCCATCTGTTTTCCTGTGCTGGGGAAAGGGGGTGGGCAAGTTCAATTTGCAGTGATAACGATTAGGGGTGAGGCACTGTGTGAGGAGCTGACACCCACCTCCCACTTCAGGATGCTCTGGAGGAGGGTCAAAGCCCACAGGCTGGGCACAGGACAATAGGGAAACCACCCTCCACAAATTGCTGGTTCCAACACCATTGTTCCTGGCCTGAATGCCTCAGAGAAGACCAGTGTTTCCAAGCATGGCTCCCTCTATGAAGGAACAAATTTTGAGCCTTGACAGGTTCCTCTGTCCCTCTAGGAATCCAATGTGCCTCTGACCAGGGTGGTAAACTGAGATTAACTAGAAATGAGGGGGCTATCTGAAGCTGACCTGGCTGGAGCACTTCCCTGGGATCCCAGAAAATTCTGATTTTGGAGGAGGAAATAGCTAAGGGCAATTCAGAGTGCAAAGATGAAAACTAGTCCTCAGTAAATTCATGCTCATTGTTCTATGATGGTACACTTAATATAATTCCCTAAGTTAAAATGAAAAAAATGAAGCCATTAACGTATTAGAAAAAACAGTGAATATTTTTATAAGATTGGAGTGGGGAAGGGCATCAAAGGCAAAAACCAAAAAAAAAAAAAAAAAATTGATAGATTCAATTAGAAAGAAATTTGAAAGTTCAATATGATGATAAATTACAAACAAATGAAACTCCTCAAACACAAAACACCATAGCCAACATTTAAAGGTAATTGATACAAACCAAAGAATATTTGCAACATATCAAAAAATTAATATTCTAGCACATAAAGAGTTCATACAAATCAATAAGAAAATGAACACATCAAAAGAACTATGGGGAGAGGATGGGAGTATAAATTAGTACAACCTCTCTGTGCAAAGATTTAGTTACAGGGTGCCATTGTGTGAAACTTGGGCAAACCTTAAGGTCCAAAAGTATATTCATAGATTTCTGGGTAGTAGTGAAAAGAGGCACATTTTAACTAAAAGAAAAAGGCAGGTAAAAATGGCATGTATAACATTTCATTTTGTTTTAAACGAAGGATTTAATATGCATTCAAAAGAGGCTGGAACTCCAAAATGTTAACATTGGTTATCTCTAGGTAGCAAGATTATGAGTGACTTTTGTTTTCTTCCCTTTCTATTTCTGTATATTTAAAATTTTCTACGTCAAGCACATATGTAACTTGAGATACAAAGATTGCTAGCTGACAAACGAACAAAAACCTAAAATTTTTGCCATATTCTAAAAGCTGATGAAGATATAATTTAATTGGAGATGAAAAAAAATCATTAAGCCAATTTCTCCAATGAGAATCACTTACAATCCAACTATTTTTGGAAGACAGTAGTATAAAAGGAAGTAGCAAAGAAAAGCAATGAAGTGCAACATGCCAGCCAGCACAGTGGCAAGGGCTGTGCACTGCAAACACAGATAGCTTGGAAATACAAACGGTTTTCCAAACAGCAATAAAAAGTATCCAGCCTATATTCCTGGGACCATAAATAAGAAGAAAACCCAGATGGTACATCTGGTTCATCTGGGAGATCCCACTAAGCAAGTGATAGGCTTTGGGGCTCATTTTGTTTACACTGTCTTAATTTTGTTATCACTGTTTTCAAACAACTATGGAGACTTTTGATCTGTATAGTATTTTGGAATTCTCTCTTCTCTCTTCTTCCAGAGGATGCTACAAAAAGAAAAAGGAAGGAAACATGGAAGGAAGGAAGGAAACCACTGAACATCAAATGAATACAGTAACAGCCATAGATGAAAGCTGGAGACAGCCATATTCAGGTAGATGAGATGTAGTTTGTTTTTAGTAAGAAGAAATCTTAACAATAATTTGGAAGAGTAATTCTTCGTAAGAATCTAAAATGATGACATTTTAGATGAAATCTAAACTTTTTCATAAAGCCCCATTCCTTAGTCCTTCCCTATAATAACTGGCCTTGTCCCTCAGGTTCCCTGAAGTGCCAAGAATTTGTCACCATAACTGCAAATCGAGGACTCAACTGAGGAACCCCGGCTAATCTCCTTTATACAACAGTCTTCAGTGATCCAATCTCATCCTTCATCATCAGTTTGAATCTCTTCAGATACGACACCAACATGTCTATCCCCCATTTACTGAGAGTATGCTATGCACCCACAACGTGCTAGGAGCTGCAGGCAACAACCGAAGAACATTCCGAGTGGGCCTTCCCTGAACCTATTTATAACACAGTGAGGTACAGGACAGTAACACAAGTGAAACAATCAGAGGAGGAGCCAACACAGAACACCCTAGAAATAAACACAGTAGGACTTCAGGAAAGGGTGCCTACTGTAAGAAGGGGAAGGGTTCTTGGAGGTGGTGAAATCTGAGCTGTATCCCGGATGAGGAGGAGGACCCAGCAGGGGGGAGGCATTCTAGAGTAAAGTTGTAGAGGCGGAAGGCGAAGGGACAGAGCAGTCAGCCAGGGAACTGGAGCTGAGCATGGGGAGAAGTGGACATAAGGGTGGAGAGGCAGGGTGGGCCAATTATGGAGGGTTTAGAGAGTCAGTCGGGAGTTCACTTAGATACGACCTGAGAAGCAGCAGGGAATCACTATAGCTTCTTGAATGGAAGACTTGGTCCCAAAGGTAGAGTTTTAGGAAGACGGGGCTGACAGCCACAGGCTGGGCTGGAGACAGGAGGTGAGGACACAGGGCACCCTGCTGGTGAGGACCTTCTCCGTCCACTGCCACCTTTAGCAAGTGCCAGCTTGAGGGGCTCGGCTCTGAGGTTCTACAGATGGCTCATGGGAAGAAAGTGAAATGAACAAAAAACTACAGCACAAGGAGAAATGCTATGATAAAGGAAGGTAGAGGGTGTGGGAGGAGAAGAGAGGAAGAAGAGACAGATTTGCTAGGGAGGATGGACACGATGTGGTGGCAAAAGTGACTTCTGGATTGACAGCTGCTGAACGATCAGCCCAGTCATTAGTGGGGGAGCTTGGAGTGGTAGCGTTTGGGCTCACCTTTAAGCCTTTACTCCTGTTCAGCCTAACATGCTCGTCATTGCAGAACACGTTTGACCAGCCATTCCACCATCATTTCCCATGGCTTTGACAATGGTGGAGCTCCGCTACATCCATTTCCCAAACACCTGTTTCCTTGGCATACACCCTCCCCACCTCTCTGCTCACGTCCTACCCGATTTGTCAATTAAACATATATCGTCTGCTAGCAAAACAAGGTTCACTGACTGTTTCACCCTGTAACTACAGCTCAATAAATCTCTAGAAGTTCTGGTTTCTAATATTAGCTAGTTTATTATATAGTCCCTGCAGGAAGGTAATCATCAAACTTTAAAACAGTATAGAGTAGCAACAACTCACATTTGTTGGTGATTACCGTGCATCCGTCATTATGCTTTTTGCTCATTTAATCCTCTCAGCAACCCCAAGAGGTAGGTAGTAGTATCGGGTTTTTTTTTTTTTTTTTTTTTTTTACTGTTTGACTGCTGAAAAACAGGTTTGGGACAGTGCCTAAGATTACTCAGCTAGTGAGCAGGGGAGTCAGAGTCCAACCCTGGAGACCTCTTGATTATCCCCCAGGCTTCTCTGCCTGCACTTTAGTGGCCAATGCCTGCCTTCCCTCCTCCCTGGAGCTCCCCATCACTGTCATGCGGAAGTATTCATGGGGAGCTGCTCTGGAAGCCTCTGTCCCGGCAAATGTACAGACTTATTGTTTCTTCTCCTCCTCCTCTTCCCCAACTCTGCTCCCCAAGTATGGAGACTTGTCTCTTCCTCCTCCTCCTTTTCCATCCTCCTTCTTCCCCTATCTCTCCCTCCTCTTTCTCTTCCCTCTTTATCCACCTCTTCTTCCTTCTTCTCTTCCTTCTTTCTTCCTCTTCTTCCTTCTCCTTCTCTCTCTTATCTTTTATCCTGAGCCTCTCCATGCCCAGGATTCATTCCTGTGGTCCCCGTTAACCCTCAGAACCACAACCAAAAGCCCAATATTTGGAGCCAATTTTAGAAATGCTTTTTTAGAGCTCAGTACTGATCCTCTCCTTTTCCTCCTTTTGCTTCATGATCTCCATCACAATTGCAGCTGACATTTACCACACACTTACTCTGTGCCCAGTAGGTGCACAGCATGTCACGTGGACCCTCTCACTTAGTCCCCTCAACCTCCTACGAGACAGGAATCATCCGCCCCATTTTACAGTTTCCAAGATCATATAACCAGCAAAGTAGCAGAGCCCAAAAGTGAAGTCGGGTCTGGTAGATTTTTGAGCCTGGATTCTTAAAAGTCACATGATGCAGCTCCTAGCCTGGGTCCCCAGTGCTCTAAGGGAACTGGATTTTAGGTGTTGTGACTGCGAGTGCCTCTGCACCTACTAGTAAAAAGCTTTGCAAAACTCTCATGAGAATTCATCTATGCTTCCTTTCGACGGCTTTACAAAATTCAGTTTTCCTCTTTTCCTCTGAGTGAATCTAAATCTGTCTGCTAGCCTCACAGCCCCTCACATTTAGTTAACAAGCACATAATGTGCATTTGCTATTTTCATCCGTGTGAAATTGACTGCCTCTTTGTGGTGTGTCTAAACCACGCATTATTCAAACTTGGGCACACACATGGCCACTTCCTTGGTCAGCTGAGTACGTTACAGATAAAAAAGAGGAAATTTTTTTGTTGTTGTTTAATTGAAGTGTTTCATATATGTGGCAATGACAGAGGATGCATATTAATTTTGATCAAAATGATAGGTCTGAATTGAAACTGGCCAGTTGCACTGTAACATTCTAACGTTCCTGTTTAACGGAAACGTGTACATGTTATACAATAGAGCAGTTAATAAGGAAAATATAAATTACTGTGAACTACTTAATTCCTTAAGATGATTATTAATGAGATTTTATTAATGGGATCAATTATGGCTACACTGGCTTCATAGGGAGTTAGGAGGGCACATTAGGGATTCAACGGGACTTGGACCCACTCTGCTGGATCTAAAAGCAGGGATTTGCAAACTCAACAATTAGATAAACATCAGCTTATGGAGAAACAAATCATTCACTGTCTGCTCCTTGCTGCAAGGAACTGTATACTTTTTCTTAAGATACAGTTTTAGAAGTTAGAGAATCCCTAGTCCTTTTGAAGCACCTCTTTCTAATGGTTTTAAAGATATTTTAAACGTGTTCCTCCTTTTCTCGAGGAAGCTGGGGATACCATGACGCTCCTAAATACACTATCAAAAGCTATTGGCCAACCTGGCACAGTGGCTCATGCCTATGATCCTTGCACTCTGGGAAGCCGAGGCAGGAGGATTGCTTGAGACCAGGAGTTCGATATCAGCCTAAGCAAGAGCAAGACCCCATCTCTGCTAAAAGTAGAAAAAATTAGCCAGGCATAGTGGCTCGTGCCTATCGTCCCAGCTACTCGGGAGGCTGAGACAGGAGAATCACTTTAGCCTAGGAATCTGAGGTTGCAGTGAGCTGTGATGATGCCACCGCACTCTAGCTGGGGCAACGGTGCCAGAGCAGACTCTGTCTCAAAAAAAAAAAAAAAAAAAGGTATTGGCCATTTTCCTTCTTTCCAATCCTATTCTAAGGCCCAGCAGACCTTCTCTGAATTCAGAATAACTGAAGTTCCATGAGCTCCAAATCCCACTGTAGGTATGGAGCGATCGCAGACTTGGCAGACCCTACTGTTCCTGTGGCCAGAGCTCTCTTCCATAATGCAGTTACCTCTTCATTTTGACCCCCACTAAGCTTTCTGGTGAAACTCAGTTCGGCGTGCATGTTACCAGGACACTGGTACTATTCAAAAACACTCCCCAAGTATATCGTTCAGTTGTGCTGATGACTACATTTGGGGGGCTCTGGGGAGAGCAGACCTTCGGGCTGACATTATTGAAATTATCACAATTACTGAAAAACCTTCCAGATGCTGGTATCGCTCTAGCACAGGAATTGCCAACTTGAGTTTCGTGATGCCTGAATTAATAACAGAGGGCATGCTGACATCCTAAAAAAAGTGTCCCAGAAGAAAATTAATTTTAAATGTATGAAATTAGAAAAATAAGTTTGCACATTATTTGCTTTCCCCTTCCTTTTCTCTGGGGAGGGGAATATGACTAAATGAAACTCCAAAAAGCTTGAAAAACACTTCGGTGATGTATTTGCCCAAATATGACCGAGACCAGGGCAGGTAAATTTTAGAAATCTGGACACCTGCCATAAACTCTTTGGAAATGCCAAGCCTTTGAGTGTAGAACCAATAGTTTTTAGGCTATACTATGTCCTGTCCCCAAATTTGGAACGGAATTTTAACATTAAATATGGATGGAAAATCTAAAACTATTAAAATTATACCAATTTGATTTAATAAAATAGATTTGTGTACATTGAATTGTTAACATTTAAATTTTCATATATATACATAGCTCAAGCAGCAGGGACTTATTCAGAAGGATCTGAGAATAAAAGTTACTTTTTTGTTGTTTTCCCTACCTTAGAGAATATAAATACCTGAGTAGTTCTTTGGATTTAAAATTTATAATTTAAATTATATCTAAATATATTTAGATATTTAATTACATATTTACAGACATATTTTAAGATACACGCAACACACACACACATACAAACGTATATCAATAAATATATACCAAAGGTTCTTGTAAGACATTTTATCTGTGAGTTGATTCAAAGCATAAATAAGAGAAAATTCAATTTATGAATATTTAGACAGACTAGGAAGACCGTTTGTTGCTTTGCACAATCACTTAATACTTAGAATCACATTCTTAAGCCTAATAATAGAAATGTCTTCAATTATCACAAATGCAATGAAATAAAAAAGATTTCTTACTGAATACTGGGAAAGATGTGCTTCCTTTTAACACTTGAAACTCTTGTTCTAGTCGTCTCCGTAAATCTATTTGTTCAAATAAAACCTTCTGAAGTTCTTCTAATAAAGAAAAAAAGAAGAGTCATTTTACTAATCTTTACAAATAACTCTCCAGAGAACTGTTACATATGGCAATTTATTATTATAAGACAAAATATTTTACCAGTTTAAAAAGTGTTGCATAGACATAGGATAGATTTTGTGCAGAAATCCATGAATATAAATCAATGTAATATATTATTTTAAAGTATTATATTACAGTGTCATGTATTGATTGATATGTATGCATTAATCTCAATTATATCCACCCAATGGTCCATATATTATTCATATGTTGCTTGTCAAGCTTAAAATATGGTGTAGAACAAAAATATCCTCCTATTATCTCCAGTTTTTTAAAGCTAAGAGAACTTCTACAGAATTACAACTTTTCTTTACCTTTCCCCATATTTTCTACATCCTTTTTGAGTGAATGAGGTGAATTGGTTTCTTGTGTGTGTTCACCTTAAAAAAAGGAGAAAAAAATGTTATTAGTTTTGTGTAGGCTATTTTCTGTATGTTTTCTTGTCATTTTCTTTTCATATCTGCAAAGGAGCTTATTTAATATAATCTGACCTTAGAAGTTCTAGGAACCAAATGCTGTCTTCATTTGCTCATGCACAATTCCCCTGACTCACGCAGGAGAGCTGCAGAAAATGAGGACAGAGTCTGCCTGGCCTTGATGGCAGCTCCGTGAAAACAGATTCCTGAAAAGTTATCCCCCGCTGTGGATCCCTCTTTACTATCCATCCTCTACAAGGAAGGTAATCGCTAGGACGGGCAAAAGAAGAAGCTGAACAGTCTAGATTTCTGGTAAAAACCTGATCGGAGTTCCACGGCTCCTTGAAGTGAGGAGGCCCAGCCGCGACTGCAGAAGCAGGATGCTCCCAGCCTTCCTGGGCCACCAAGATTTGTGGCAGTGAAAAAGAAGTACGTGTGGGGGTTGGTGATGGTGGTTTTGAGTTGTCCTTCCTAGAGAATTTATAAGCCTCGAGGGGTTTCTTAACAATTGGTAGCTTGTTTAAAATGAAAACATCAACCTAAAACAGAGATGTGAAATAAATTAGCCTATAGGAGTTTGTAAATATTTACTTGCTTGCAAGTCTCTTAACTAGTTGTGTCCACCAGTAACAATTACATTGTGAATAAAGGTTACATTGTTATTCTCACCTATTTAACTTATGTGCTAATTAGAAGGATGGCAAACTAAGAAAATGTATTTATCTACAATCATAAATTGAGTCTACATAAGCCAGGAAAGCTAAATAAACCAAACAAATCCAATCATTTAGCTAATCGGAAAATTTTTTTTTTCAAGTTTCAACCTGCTATCCATGATATTCACATAATTCAGTTAAGCTTTCTGTTTCTGTCTAAAGAGGTGTGGTACCAAGGACAAAGGGACTCCTGGGGTTTTATGGATTCCCCTCTCCCATCCCCAGGAGTGATCCCTCTTCTGTGGCCCCTGCACACCTTGCAGGGTCTCTGGCATGGTGCTGTTTGCTTAACCCCTTCCTCACAGAGTAGGCCCAGTGCTACTTGGAGGCAGGGGCTGTGTCTTTTCTGCATGGCCAGTGAGTGCCTCGCACAGTGCTGGACACATAGTAAGCACTCAAGAAGTTGTCTTTAGTTGTTTCCGACAGGGATCCCAGGAGGCTGTAATTCTAAATTACAGCATGGGCCAAAATTCATCATTTCAATTATCTCCTTACTACTTTATTTCCCTTAGCAAGAAATAGAATGTAATGGCCCTGGGCACTTGTAGGAATACTGGGAGATTTCATTGTCAAGGTAAAAATTCCTGCAAAGAGGGAAACAGAATCTCTCTCCAAAGCAACAATTAATAGTATCACCGACAGATAAGAAAATCCTCAACGTGACATTATAAATAGTGATTCTGCATTTCACCTGATGACTGTCAGGGGTATGTGTGTGTGTGTGTGTGTCTACATATATGTAATTATACACACATGCAAATACTCCAAGACATATGCATAGTTAGGGGAAGGAGCCTGATAATATCCTTAGCATCCCTAAGTTCCTATTAATAGCAGGCATTTTCTGTAATATCTAGATCATATTCACACAACCTCATTTCCACTCTCATTTTGGATGTGACCTGTCTTTACAGGCTCAGATGTACTCTTGAACCTCAACACCTTGGCTTTCTTCTCCATATAATAAGAAAATAATGAGGAAATATCTGTGAAACATTTTAAAAACAGACCTCAATGTATAATTATTCCTGAATAATACTATTATCGAAAAGAAGAGAAACATGAAGGTTGATAACAAATCATTAATATATAAACCAAGAATGGGCCGGGCGCGGTGGCTCACGCCTGTAATCCTAGCTCTCTGGGAGGCCGAGACGGGCAGATTGTTTGAGCTCAGGAGTTCAAAACCAGCCTGAGCAAGAGCGAGACCCCGTCTCTACTAAAAATAGAAAGAAATTAATTAAACAACTAAAAATATATAGAAAAAATTAGCCGGGCATGGTGGCGCACGCCTGTAGTCCCAGCTACTCGGGAGGCTGAGGCAGGAGGATCGCTTGAGCCCAGGAGTTTGAGGTTGCTGTGAGCTAGGCTGACGCCACGGCACTCACTCTAGCCCGGGCAAAAGAGTGAGACTCTGTCTCAAAAAAAAAAAAAAAATATATATATATATATATATATATATATATATAAACCAAGAATAAGAGTATATGCAGTTTTGCCTATGTTTACTCTAGTTTCAGTAAACCAGTTAAATGTATAGAAATTTCATGCTCATCCAAAATGTTGAATATGAACAAGGGAATAAACAAACATGTACATATCTCTGTATTATCTACAGGGCATAATGAGATGGTATCATTCTACAACTTTCTCAACCACTCAAAACATCATTTAATGAGATCTTTGTTCCTGAATAGGCAATTCTAGAAACCATGTTCTTATCACATTATAGACTATATTCTTTCTGGCTTATTAGTATATTTTGTGGACAGTTCATCTTATATCATGTTTCAATTAGATAATCAAATTTAAAAATTAAAATATGATATGTAAAAATGCATTTCCTTTCTACTTCTACTTTCATATCACATAAAACTACTACATGAGTATGGATATGAAACCACTAAACAAATAGCTTTACATGAGTATGAGTATGAAACCATTAAACAAGTAGCTAGTAAATGCAAATGATATTAACCACAGGCAAATCTGACATTAATAATAAGCTTTTCTCTTCATCAGCTTTGTGGAGGTTTTATTAACATTTTACATCAGTGTCTATTTCAAACAGTTATTTTATTGCAACTTCTGGGTACCATTTGCCGATTTTAAGCTTAGAAGATTCAAAGGTCTGACTTACAAAGGGTTTTTAAAAATGGCTAAATGTTAGGTAGATAAGGAGCACAGAAGCTTCAGCTGCCTTTTGTGTATCTTTTACTGGACTGTTGCCTTTTGTATATTACTAATCTGTGAAAAGCAGATTGTTAATGGTGGTTAAAAATGACCTCTGGGAGCCTGGATATGTTTGTTCACTATTACTGCTAATGTTTTCCATCTGGTTAAAAAAAAAAGGCAGTCTAATACTAGATTAAATAAATGTGATTTAGTTGACAGGGAGCTTCCAATTTTTATAAAGATTTTATCAGGTTAGATGCATTTTACTTTTTCAAAATTAATGAATGGGTTTCAGAGACATTAAAAAATTAAAATGCTTACTTTCCTTTCCTCTATATTTCCTCCTCCCTTTTTAGCAAAATAGGGAACGCTTCACGAATTTGTATGGATTCTTGTGCAGAGGCCATGCTAATCTTATCTGTATTGTTCCAATTTTGGAAATGTGCTGCTGAAATGAGCACTATATTCCCCCTTTTAAAAAAATATTACAAAAAGAATAGGGATGTTAATTGCATAGCGTTATATGACAGAAAATTATACACGGAAGGAGCAACTTTCTCGGAGGCCTGGCATCAAACGTGTCTAAGTCAGACTGTAGAAGAAAACAGTGAGGTGGTTTGAAGTTGGAGAGTAATGGGTCATTAGGGCAAAAATGCACGTACCCCCATAATATCCTGAAATTTAAAAAAATGCATCCCATGGATGGATGTGACTAAAAGTTGCTCCTGGGGGTGGGGTGTCTGGACCAGAATTCCAGAAGTGCATGTCTGCGGGACCAATTCATTGTGACCTGCGTGGTTTCCAAGAATCCTCCTTGCCCCGAAGAGCAGAGGCCACACAGTGCCATGTCAGCGAAGCTACACTGCTTCTGAGTGCAGTCAGAGGCCAGAGAACCCGGGACTACAGGAGTCCTGCTTTCCAGCTCCCTCCAGGGTCCCCGAACAACAGGTGGTCCCGTGTTCTAGGTGAATGTTCCACCCCACCCTTGGTTCTGCCCTCGCGCAGTCATCAGAGACTGGAGGTCCAGGAGAGAGGGGCATGAGAATGTGCCACGCTGAAGCAGCCATGAGCAGTACACGGCAAATGAGGAGAAGATGACAATATACAAGGAAAAAACAAAAAACAAAATGAAAAACAACCAGTAGATTCAAAGCACTACCTTTCAAGGCACAAGAGTAATTACTTTCTCTTGACTATCATGGCACATCTCTGCTCAAGAACCTGCAATGGCTCCCCCCATGATCTCCATCAAAGAATTCACTTTAAATTCCTCCCCCAAAGCCTCCAGTTTCTCCCATATCCTTGTCCCACACGCTGAGCCAACCTATGTTTCTCTACTGCCAAACACAAACCCTTTATTCTAGACTTTCTCACATCTGCTGCCTGGCTCTGCCTCATACTGTTTCTCTGGCCTAAGGAACCCTCCCTTCTCTTCCTTGTCCATCCAAAATCATAATGCCACCCAAGTCCCTACTTGTCATGGACTGAATGTTTCCATCCCCTCCAAAATTCGTATGATGAAATCCTAAGCCCTGAGGTGATGGTATTAGGAGGTCAGGCCTTTGGGAGGTGCCCTCGGGAATGGGATTAGTGTCCTTATAAAAGAGACCCTTTTGCCCCCTTTTCACCAAATAAGAACACCGTACCAGACACTGAATCTGCCAGTGCCTTGATCTTGGACTTCTCAGCTTTCAGAACCATGAGAAATATTGTTTAAGCCACTCAGTCCATGGTATTTTTGTTATAGTAGCCTGATCAGACTAAGACACTTCTCTTCCATAAGCCTTTCCCAACTTCTGCAAATCCTACTGACCCATCCCTTCCTGGGCTGAAGTGCTAAGTGCTTATCATCTTTACACTGCCCCTTTGTAGCCAGGGTTCTAGTGTTTACCTATATGTTAGTCTGGTCTTCCCCAGATAGAAATTATACTTTCTGACAGCAGGGAGATCCTGCCCTATGGGTAACCCTCATCACCTCTACCTTAGAAAGGGGTATAATACACATTCCACAAATATGTATTATACTTAATTTAATTCATTATGGCCTATGAAAGAAATACCCACTAATGCTAT